AACAATTACTCTTAAGTGTAGGCTGCATGTCCAGGAGTAACTACCCATTTGAAATAAAAGTCAGTTGTTGCAAACAATTCTTAGGAATTGATCATTTATCTATCGTTTATTCATTTATATGATTTTATCAAATATTCTCTTTCTTATGTGTATTGTGGCTTCAGATTTTTCTGTTTTCATGGTATTTTTGAGTGTGAGAATGCACTAGTCTCTGCCTCTACATTTGTTCATTGTGCTTTTATTGGACTCTTTCTCTTTGTTTTGTCCTTTTTGATGTGTCATGTTTTACTTTATCTGTTTTTATTTAATTATTTTTCATTATAAGCCTGTTTGTTTTCTAATGAGAAAGTTAAATGGTGCATATGGATGGGAGGGAAGTTGTAGAGTAACTTGGATTTATATAAGAATACAATACTATGATAAGTGTATATTATACACAAATTCTATATTCAAAATTTAAAAGGCTTGATGTCAGGTGAATATTATTAGAAGATGAAGAAAAAGAGGCAAATTATACTTTGGGTATACATTTTACATTTGTGGCAAAATCGAAGAGGACCCTCAGACTGTAAAGTGGCCCATGGAAGAACAAAATTATCCTTAGGATTTTAGTCTTCAGGCATTTTTGCTGGTATCAATAACACACCTGTTCACATAGAATTCTCACATGTAAATTGGATAGGCTTTGATTCAGGAGAATATGAAGAATAAATAGGGTCTCTGAATAATATTCTAGGGATGCAGAGTGTGAAACTTCTTCTTTCAGTATGTTCTTTTTGTACTGACTACAGTGTAGATGGAACAAGAGGCAGGTATGGACCCTGTTGAATAAAAGAGTGTGCCAAGTTTTAGGAAAGATGAAAACACATGTTACTGGTAGGAAAAGATAAGAAAACTAGGAATAGTATGAATTTATTAAAAAGAAGCAAGAACTCAGGAACTCAAGTGTGAAAAGAAGCTTTGGTATTGTCTTGAGAATTAAAAAACACAGGAGCAGAAGAGGTATCTGTGGGGAGGTTGGTCTAGAAAGGGAAGGTAGGATCATGTCTAGAAGTTTTATTTGTTTGTTTTTGTGATTCCTACAGTCTTAGTCCTTTCTCATTCTCGAATAACACTATAGGAAGCCAGAGACAGTGATGGTCTTATTTTAATAACCACGTGCAGTTAGTATTCACCTTTCCCAATTATGAAGGCAAAGCTATCTCCCTACATGCAAATGAATCTTCTATCTTTAAGTTAAATAACTTTCTGGGTTGTAGGAGGTTACATCTTTCTTACTGGAGGTTGATCCCTAAAGAAAAGGGGTATAACCTAAAAAATGAGAGTATTGACTCTTCTGTACCTGTTGACAGCCCTTGCTGGTGAGTGTTGCCATTTCATACATGTGTTCAGGAGGAGTTTGTAAAATGTGTGATTGACAGAATTGACCCTTCTTGTCTGAAGGTATCTGTCCCAGGTTCACCTTCAGAAATCAGGACCTGGCCTAGTGAAACCCTTTTAGTCACTGTCCATCAGCTGTTCTGTCACTGGCTACTTCATAGCCAATGGTTATTCTTACTGGCACTTGATCCGGCAGATTCCAGGAAATAAACTGGAGTGGATAGGGTACTTAAGCTACAGTGGTAGCACTAACTACAATCCTTCCAAAAGCAGTTGAAAGAACAACAGTAATTTTTATGAAAACAGATATGTGAACCAAAAAACGTGTAGCACAGAATCTCTCATCACAGCAACGAAATTTAAGGTCAGAAGGAGATTTAATCTCATGTATTGTGGATAAGTTCAGGACAATATATGTGTTCACATCTGTGACTGTGTTGCTAGTTACACCAAGTTCCATGTGTTTGGATGCTTAGAATGTGAGATTTAAAATGTGTAGTCATCTGATGTCAAGAATATTTGCTTCAAATAAAATATATATTCATGTTTCCATTAACTGAAATTAAATGAAATCAAAAGGTTTCCCATCACATTAGATTGGGTTTCCTTGTTTCTCTTTTAAAAGGTAATGCACAGAGAAAAGACTCCCTTTGTGTAAGAGAACATGTCTCAGTGGTACAGTAGATATATGTGACAATTTTCTGACTAGGATTTTCTCTGTTTTAAGGATACATGGTGAGGTACAGCTGGTAGAATCTGAAGCAAGCTTGTTAAAGCCTCAACTGTCTCTTAAACACTCTTCTGAAGTCTCTGTATTTACCTTCAGTGATTACTGGATGCATTGTATTTGCCAAGGCTCAGGGAAGAGGCACAAGTCATTAGCAGGTATAAAATATGACAAGAGTTTAAAAACTATGCAGAGTTTGTGAAGGACAATTTGCCATTTCCAGAGACAATTCTAAGAACTTATTGTATCTATACATGAAAGTCTGAGAAATGAGGACACTGCCATGTATAACTGTGAGAGAGAAATGGGGAGGAATGTAAACTGTGAACTCTGGCACAAAACTCTCCACAAGGTGCTCATGGCCAGCAGGGGGCACTGGCACACAGGGAACTGCAGATCAATAAATGTGGAGTATGAATGTGAATGGCAAAAATACACTGTCTGAATGGTTTTAAATAAATTCATCTTTAATCTGTATGGAAATATTTAAATACAGGATGAATTCTGTTCAGAAAAAAATGCAGAGCATTAACAAGGCAGATGTGACTCCCCTGTGGGCACCAGGATCTCATTTAGTTTTAAATAAAGTTGGGGTGAGGGATTATTAAATTTCTGTGATGACTGATACCCATGCCATGGATTCGAGAAACACCTGTGAGAATCCAGTCCTTTATGCATTATGAGACCTTCAGTGTAGGGCTGAAAAATACATCCCAGGTTATGTTATGCTCAGAATATTTGTTCGGAAATACTATTATTTAATATAATGTAACTAATGTTAAATTCCAAAGTCAACTTGTTTGCATTCTGCCATTCCTTTCTGACAGAGATTCATCAGGTTTACAAGAGGGATATACTCTCCCTGTATGCATGAAAGCAACAGGGCATCCTGTAGTGATAGGGCATTGTTCTCATCAGAGATGTACACATTCTTCTCTGCAATGACTAACAGTATGTTCTTACTCTGGGATAAAATAAGAGACTTGCTGTTTTTACATACTTGTGCTGCATGTGACAGCTTAGCTCCCCAGGCTGCAAGAAATGCATCACTCACTGACTCACATGGTGTTGGCACTCCTTTAGTTATGTGATTAAACAGGTGTTCCCATTGCACCATGCTAACATAACCAAGGAGAACTGAAGGAATACAAAAGTGGAAAAAAATTAGGCACAGTGTGTCACAAGGGTTCTCAGGAATAAAGTGAATATTTACAAGTATGTGAAAGCTGACTGCAAAAATGTTGCCTTTTCTGCTGAAATTAAGGAAATAACCACAACTGTCACTTTTCTCATGAATCTGTGAGTAGCTTTCATTGTCTTCATTTTCCACAAAGCCTCATACACACATTAAGAAAAATTATCAAAGTAGTTCTTAGTAATAAAACTTATTTAGGGTATTTAAAAACACATTAAACACTTCTCATCCTTCAGGAGTCAAAGCAGTGTGAAGATGGGTGATTTCCTGTGAGTGATGGTGTCTCCCTCATGAAGTTAATTCTACTTCTCCTTGATCATTTTAACATTCTGTCATTTCTCTTTTGGTAGGGAGGAGCTAATGCACACCATGATAAATGATGGAAGTGTATGTAAGGGGTTTATAAAATCTATTGGTGAAGGCTCTTTATAACTAGATCCATCACCCTGAGATTATCATTCTACTGTTAAGGTAATGTAGAGACAGTCCATCGTTGTAAACCATAGGAGCTTCATCAGACAGTATAGTTTCCAAAATCAGATATAATTTCAGAATTCTACTGACCTGGCATTTTAAAGGAACACACTATGATCAGGAATATTCTAATCATTCCCATAAGACAGAATCATGGTGATGTTTCTCAATCTTCTTGTATGCTACTCTAACCCTCAGAAAGATTACAGAGCATTGCAAAATGTTCCAGTATCAATCATTTGCTGAAGGACTGTAATGGATTAGATAGAGAAAGCATTCCATACATGATATAGAATGAGTATAGATTTTGAAAAAGCACAGTAGGTTTTTCACTGATTTGTCTGCACAACCCACAGAATTCTACCCTCAGACTTTGAAAAGCCAAAAATTAATAGATTCAGCAGGCAGATAGCAGAAATACTTTAATTTTTTTGTTTCTTTGTGTTATGTAAAATGAGCCTAAAACAAATGAATATTAAATAGTTTTTCAAGTTCTCAACAAGTTGATCAATCATGAAAATGTAAATTATAAGGTTAAGATATCATCTAATCCAAACATCAATAGCATTTATGAAGGAAACAAATGATGCCAAATGCTGATGAGTAAGTGGTGAATGTGGAAACATAATTGATAATTAGTTTAACCAGTTTGTGTTCATATGAAATTTTGTCTTGATTGTCTCCCAAAATGTAAAATTACAAACATCATATGACTTACCCACATCACTCTTGTAATACAGCTATGGAGATATACTAGAAATATACAAGATTATCTGTGCATCAACAATAATACAGGGTACCAAGATTTTGGAAAGATGGTAACACATATTATGGGTGGGAAGAGAGATTAAAACTAGGAAAAGTGTGGTGCTACTAATAAAAAAGTAAGAAGTCAGGAACCCAAGTATGAAAGGAAGGTTGGCACTGAAATGAGACCATAAAAATACAGAAGCAGAAAAGTGTCTGTGGGAAGGTTGGTGTATGATGGGAAGGTGGGATCATGTATAGATGTATTTCCTGTGAATCCTACTGTCCTCATGCTTTCTTATTCCAGACTCACACTATAGAAAGTCAGAGGCACTGATGGTCTTATATTAATAACCAAGTGCATTCAGTATCTACCTTCCCCAAATTATGAAGGCAAGACTGTCTCCCACATGCAAATGTATCTTCTAGCTCTAAGTTAAATACACTCCTGAGATGGGACAGCTCACATATCCTCACTGGAGGGTGATCTCTGAAGAAAACGGAGTGTAGCCTAAAAGATGAGAGCTTTGAGTCTTGTATTCCTGTTAACAGCCCTTCCTGGTGAGTGTTGTCATTTCATACATGTCTGAATGAGGGGTTTTTGAAATGTGTGATTAACAGAATTGACTCTTCTTGTCTGAAGGTATCCTGTCTGAGGTGCAGCTTCAGGAGTCAGGTCCTGGCCTTGTGAAACCCTCTCAGACACTGTCGCTCACCTGCTCTGTCACTGGCTACTCCATCACCAGTGGTTATGATTGGACTTGGATACGGCAGTTCCCAGGAAATAAGATGGAGTGGATGGGATACATAAGCTACAATGGTGGCAATAACTACAATCCATCTCTCAAAAGTCGAATCTCTATCACTAGAGACACATCCAAGAACCAGTTCTTCCTGCAGTTGAACTCTGTGACTAAAGAGGACACAGCAACATATTACTGTGCAAGAAACACAGTATGAGGTCTTCAGTGTGAGTCCAGACATAAACCTCCTTGTAGAGCAGCTGTGCACCAACAGGAAGCATGCAGTATACACCAGGCAAAGGAAATCTAATTTAGAGTAGGTAAAAAATGAGTCTTGCCAAAACGGTGGCACCACACACCTGCTATACAGGAAGACACACTAGTGCTAAGATCTTCAGTTAATATAATGCACACAGCCTAATAAATACCCTTAAGTTATACCCAGAATTCTTCAATGGCACCCAGCAGAAATCTACTGGATTTTTGGAAGACAAATAATTACTAGAATTTCCACGAACAAAACCAAAACCCTAGAAGCCACATTGGTATCCAGAACCACAGTGTCCATGGCATTTTTCTGAATCTCTAAAACGCAGAGACAGTACCCCAGAGGTCACTCAGGTCACAAAATCCCCAGTGGAGGTTCCTTATTGGACCTGAAGACTCTGGCCACTAGAACAGGCCACTCCAAAAGAAGACTAGAGCAGAAACAGAAATCTAAAGAAACAATTCATTCATCAAGAATAAACTCAGAAACTGGCATCTAAATTTCTAATAATCCCATAGCCAAATGACTAAAGGCCACTATAAGAACAATCTTAACAACTTCCAGGGCAATATGGTAACCCTGCAGCCCAGCCATCCGATTATAGCAACCACAGCATATTCCAACACAGTTGAAGTACAAGCAAATGACCTTAAATACGACATTATGAAATTTTTAAGCCCATTAAGAAGAAAATACATAATGCCCTAAGATAAATCCAATAAAAAAACATATATGCAGGCAGCCTGCCCAGTACAGGTTCTCTCTCTCTCTCTCTGTCACTCTGTCTCTCTGTCTCTCTGTCTCTCTCTCTCTGTCTCTCTCTCTCTGTCTCTCTCTCTCTCTCTCTCTCTGTCTCTCTCTCTCTCTCTCTCTATCTCTGTCTCATCTGCAGATGATGAACGCATTGGTGATTTGACATCATGCTGATAGCAGAGTGGCCCAGTGACAGGAATGGGTGATTTATGTGGACAATACTCCTGACAGAATAAAACTTAATTCACTGGCCCAAGCAAGATGCCTTGGGGAGAAACTCTGAACTCTTAACTCTTCATTTTTATTTTACTTATTCGTATAACATCCCACTGATTTCTCACCTACAGGTCACTCCCTTCCATAACCCTTTCCATTGCCCCCCTCCCCTTCCCATATGAGCATCTGGGCACCCTCTACATATCACCCGACACACTGAATCTTCAAGTTTCTGAAAGACTAGACACTTCATCTCTCATTGAGGTCAGACAAGCCAACCAAGTTAGAAGAACATAACCTACATACAGGCAACAGCTTTTTGGATAACCCCAATTTCAGTTGTTCTGAACACATATGAAGACCAAGCTGAATGAATGGGAAAGCCTAGGTCCAGCCTGTGTAGTGCTTTGTTTGGAGGTTCAGACTCTGAGATCCCCAAGCATCCAGGTTATTTGACTCTGTTGGTCTTCCTGTGGAGTTCCTATCCTATTCAGGGCCCAAAATCCTTCCTCTCATTCTGCTATAAGAACTCCCAGTCTCCATCCACTGTTTGGCTGTGGGTGTCTGTATATACCTGAGTCAACTGCTGAGCAGCATCTCTCAGATGACAGTTATGCCAAGCTTCTGTCTGCTAGCACAACAGAATATCATTAATAGTGTAAGATATTGTTGCTTGCTCATGAGATAGGTATCAAGTCTAGACCTCTTATAGTTAGGCTATCCCCTCAGTCTCTGCTCCAACCCTAGTGACAGTATTTCTTATAGAATGGGTGAATTTGGGGTTGAAAGTTTTGTGGGATGGTTTGTGTCTTTACAGTAGGAGCTTCTTGAGGTTCCAAATCACCAATGTAATGAGTCACAGTTAAGGTCATCCCCACTGATTCTTGGGCACTTTCTGTATCCCAAGTATCTGTCTCATCTTGTAGGTACACCCCACTTATCACCATCTAAAGTTGCATATTTCTATTCATTTTCATAGCCATCAAGACATCTCTCCTGTCCTTCTAGACATATGATTCTAAACCTTCCATTCCCATCACCGTAGCCCTTCCCTCCCAGTTGCCCCTCTCTCCATTTGTCTCTTATGACTATTTCCCACTTCTAGATGAGATTCAAGCTTCCTCCCTTGAGCCTTCCTTCTTTTTTAGCATATTTTGGTCTGTGGAGTGTCACATGATACCTTTATCTTATGGCTAATATCAACGTGTAAGTGGATATATACCATACATATCATTTATGGACTAGGTTCCCTCACTCAGGATGATATTTTTGAGTTCTATTTGCCTGCAAAATTCATGATGTCTTGTTTTTAAACAGCTGAATAGTATTCCAATATGTAGATGTACCACATATTTTTTGTCCATTCTTCAATTGAAGGACATATAGATTGTTTCCCTTTACTGGCTATTACAAATGAAGTAGCTATGAACATACTTGAGAAAGTGTATTTGTGGGATGTTGGAATATCTATGGGGTATAGTCTCAGAGGCAAGTGGTAAAGAAGGTTCTTGAGGTTCTCAGTCATCTTAGAAACCACCAAATTATTATCAAAAGTGGTTTTAGAGGTAGGCTTTCCCATCAGAAATGAAGAAAATGAAGAAGTATTCCTTTTGGTCTACATCCTTACCAGCATGTGCTACCTCTTGAGTTTTTTCTTCTTAACCATTCTATTTGCTGCAAGATAGAACATCAACAATGGTTTGAATTTCACTTCCAAGAAAATGAAGGACTTTGAACATCTATTTAAGTGCTTCTTACTCACTCAATATTTCTTTCTCTTAAGAATTCTGTTTAGAGCCGGGTGGTGGTGGCACATACCTTTAATCCCAGCACTTGGGAGGCAGAGGCAGGTGGATTTCTGAGTTCATGGCCAGCCTGGTCTACAGAGTGAGTTCCAGGACAGCCAGGGCTACACAGAGAAACCTTGTCTCGAAAAACCAAAAAGAAAAAAAAAGAATTCTGTTTAGTTACCCAAACTATTTTTAATTGGATTGTTTGGGTTGTTGTCTATTGACTGTATCCAACTGATATTGAGATATAGAACTTTTGGTTTTTTATAGGTCCCATTTATCAAATATTGATCTCAGAGCCTGAGACATTGTTGTTCAGTTCAGGAAATTTTTTCTTGTACTATGAGTTCAAGGGTGTTTGCTAATTTCTCTTGTAGAGTTATAATAAATCCAGTTTTATGTTGAGGTTCTTGATCCACTTGAACTTCAGTTTCATAAAGGGTGGTAAGGATAGATGTATTCTCATTCTTCTACAGATGAATATTCAGGTAGTCCAGTACCATTTGTTGAAGATGCTTTCATTTTTCCATTGTATCACTTTGGTTTCTTCATCAAATATTAAATGTCCATTATTGTGTGAGTTTATTTTTGGGTCTTTGATTAGGTTCCATTCATCAATGTTTCTGTATCTATAACAATTTCATGCAAATTTTATCACTATTGCTTGGTAGTACAGCCTGAGATCAGGGATGGTTATTTCCCTGAATTTTTTTTTTATTGTTCAGGATTGTCTTGGCTATCCTGGGTTTTTTGGTTTTTCATATTGAGTTGAGAATTTCTCTTTCAAGGTTTATAAAAATTGTGCTGCAATTGTGATGGAAATCATATTGAATCTGTTGATTGCTTTTGGTAAAAATAACATTTTCACTATGTTAATCCTACTTATCCAAGACCATAGGAGATCTTTGAATCTTCTGATATCTTCTTCAATCTCTTTCTTAAAGGCTTTGCTTTGAAATTCTTATTGTACTGGTCTTTCAGGTGCTTAGCTATTTTAAATTAATGTTGCAATTGAAAAGAGACATGTTGACATAATTTCTTTCTCAGTCTGACTTTCATTTTTATAAAAAAATAAAAAATATTGATTTCTTTGAGTTAATTTTATATACACTCATATTGCTGAGGTGTTTATCAACTGTAGGGTCTATAGTAGATCTACTTCCAATTTTCTGAGGAACTTCCAGATTGATTTCCAGAGTGGTTCTACCAGTTTACAATATCACCAGTAATGGAGGAGTGTTCCTCTTTGTTCCCTTCCCATTGAGGCAACATAATCTCATCCTCTTCTACATATGCAGCTGGAGCCATGGGTCCCTCCATGTGTACTCTTTGGTTGGTGGTTTAGTCCTAGGGAGCTCTGGCACATCAGGTTGGTTTATATTGTTGTTCTTCCTATGGGGTTGCAATCTCCTTCAGCTCCATCAGTTTTTCCCCTGACTCCTACATTGAGGTTCCCTTGCTCAGTCTGATGGTTGGTGACAAGCATCTGCATCTGTATTGGTAAAGCTTGGGCAGAGCCTCTGAACAGAGAGCCACTCCAGGTTCCTGACAGCAAGCACTTCTTGGCATCAGCAATAATGTCTGTGGCCAACTAGAGGATTTCCTAACTCTACTCAGATTTTTTTTCCTCTCAGTTAACCATATAGTTAGGATAGGAGACCATCTTCTGTGTCAGTTATAACACTTGCTAAGAAGAACTAATTATCTGATAGACATAACTGCAATTAGTTTGTAAAATATATGTCAGTTACTTAGGAAGCTACAGAAATAGAAATGACACAGTTCATAGTCTTTCTCAGTCAGCATGAAGATACATTATTTCATAAAAGAATGAATTTCTCAGCTGCGAAACTAGGACCTGACTATCTTTTCTTATGAAAAAACAATTCCAAATCTCATCATTCTGAGACTTACCCACAACCAGTAGAAGTTTATGTTTTTATTGTGGTATGTGTTGAAGACATCTTTGAGGTTCATTTCATTTCATGAAATGAAGTATCCATGTCTGTTTAGCTTTTGTCCAGGTAAAGTGTGTATCAGTAGAGTATTGAATTCACCATAGTCAATGCACTTGTTTTATCCATGCTTATATTCATAGTGATCTGGCTTTTATCAAATTTGCTCCAATGCAAGCTGCATGTGTTCTTTTGGTAGATTCTTGCTTTAATGAGTATGAATCAGTCTCTTTTA